CTTAACCTTCTCTTTAAAATGCTGTTGCCGTTTAGGAGAGCCAGAGAAGAAAGAGGAAAGACTCCTTAGAACAGACATCATGTCTTTAACTAAATATTCAGAGCAAGTATCGGCAACACAGAGATTGAGGCGGTGGTTCATGCAATGAACATACAAAGCTTTGCTAAACTGACCTTGGATAAGTGACGAAACACCATTGTACTTTCCTGCCATATTGCCAGCACCATCATAGGATTAACCTCTGCAGTTAGCCATTGGTAAACCAAGGTCAGCTACAGCCTTCAAAATCATCTCCTTCAATGCCACTCCACTGGTTCCATCTTCACAATGGTAGAAACCAACAAACTCCTCTCGAATCTGCTGACTTGAATCGACAAATCGTAGGACTAAGGAAAGCTGCTCTTTGTTGGATATATCAGCTGCCTCGTCTGCCAACACTGAAAACAGCTTGCTTTCTTTAATTTCTGCAGATATTTTTGAAGTAATGTAACTGCCAACAGTGTTAATAATCTCGTTCTGGATTGTTTTTGAACGGTAGGTAGCATTTCGAGGGGCATTCTCAAAGTGTTCTTGCAGCGTCTTGTCTCCACTATCAACACGAAAAGCCAACAAAGCTTGGAAATTGCCCTGAAGAGTTTCGTCGTCAGGATTGTCATCTCTTGCACCACGTAAAGCCACTGCATTTTGACCACAAAACACTACAGTCTTAATAATAGACTTCATCTTTTCACGATTCTGTTGGATCTGCCGAAAAGTAATCTGGTTTAACTGCTCGTCAATCGCCACAGTGCGTCTCGTCATCACATCCATGAAGTTTGCCATGGCCACCACAGAGAAGCTGTGTGTTTCACACTTGCCGGATGAGTGATTTTGGAGTCGCGTTACAGCCGTTGTCCAGAAAGTAAGCGGCGATCGGAAAAGCTTCTGTAGCCTCGCTGCGTTTTTGCCATATTGTATTCCAAAACAACAGCATGGAAGACAGAAGATGCCATCGAGATACCTTGAATACACAAGCCATGTGAATCGAACTAACCACTCGTGTCTACACTTTCGTAGCTTTCCTGCGGCTTCAACCGATGCAGGAAAACTATAATTCAAAGAAGGCTTCCAAACATTGTTGATGAAGCGAAACTTCTCTGCCGGAGAAGCCTTGGAAATTGTAGAATAAACGAACCCAATGTCAAAAGGAGAACAATCTTCCTTTGGAACTAAAGGTTCGCCACGAGGTGTAGCGAAAGTCGCCATATTAGCATTTCACGCAAACACTTGCAAAGCACCACGGAATGTTCGGTCGTATTTATAACTTTTGACTAGTGCCTGAGTAGTTTCCGTGGATTTAATTAACAGCCTCTAGCCAATGACAGCACGTCTTGACTAGTGCAAAAATAATTTGATCTGCAGTTGGCCAATGATATGTGATTTTAACTAGTTTCCGTGGAAAATTTCCACGCAAATTGAACTGGTGCACACACGCAAAGGCACTAAATTCCACGCATTTTGTTGCATCGCTGATCTGTATAGATCAGTGGATTGCACAGGCATTTTAACCCGGATTTGCATTTCCTAGGGTCCCTCTTCCAGTGAAAAATACCGTATATAAACAAAAATGGCTGATTTCGCCAAATTATTATATAAAAAAAATATGGTCAAAATTACTGAAAATTTTATTAACGATTTGGAAATTACTTGAAGAAAAACACATAAATTCACAAGTTTGGAAAAATTTTACTAGTTTCCGGAAACTAGTGGCACTAGTTTGGATCCACCCCTGCTAACCTGACAAAGTACGCAGGAAGAAGTCGAAGAATAAGTTCAAGTGTTTCGCTCTGATACAAGTCGTACTACTTGTGCTATATCTTCGTTATATGCCAAGAATCCGACCTTGATCTTGGCACTGTTACGTAGTTTTAGGCACTGAAATTTCCTGCCTCTTCAACCGGCGTGCCATAGATTAAGATAAAGTTATTTATGTCATCTAATCGTGTTAATCCAGGCGTGACATAAAAATCCATATTTAATGAGAAATATTTTTATTTTTCTGCTTATTATATAAAGGACAGTCTTTGAAAAGCGATAATTTTTACAGAAAAGCGATAATTGAAAAGCGATAATTTTCACATGTGAGATTATTATGAATAATCTCAGATGTGAGATTATCACTTTTATCAGTGCTCGAAATCTCTATAAAGCACTATACCTTATATAATAAATACCTATAATTAAATATCTACAATCTATGCCAGAAACTATGGGACAGCTGCTGTAATTTCATATAATTTGAAAGGAATAGCGCCCCTCGTTCCCCCAGTTCAATGTTGGGCCAACAAAAATCTGATGTCTGGATGCGCAGCGCCAACATTGAAATGGGTGGGGGGAGGGAGGGGGGAAAATATGTATCAGGAAATGGTATATTACAACCGAATGCATGTGAAAACTAGATTGTCCCAATCTATATTGTCAAAGATTGTCTGTTGAAGTAATACCATTACTCTTAAACTTAACTTAATTCAACTTGTAGACATCATCAAGCTGTGTACGCAGTTATATTTTCATAATTTCTTCACCTCTGTTCGGTCCTTTAGCAATTTCGTTGGGCACACGGATAATTTTCGTGTACTGTGTTATACAATGTTTGCGTATGCGTGTGTTAGGAAATAGCTAAAATCCGGCTGCAAAATTGTGTATATTTAAAATCAGATTTAAAGGCTTGTAGTGCCACATTTTAGTCACAATTCATTGAATTCCATGCATGGCAACGGTATTGGGTCTCTATTTAAAGAAAACTCATGACTGAGCCATCTTGTTAGCATAACTAAGCGCGTATATGTGACAATGAGATCAATATAGAAACGAATCTCACCACAAATCTCACCAAAATTTCATGGGCTCACCCGCCATAAAAGCCTTAATAGCAGACAATATCAAACAAATTCACCCTAGGCATTTAAAGTCCAACATATTTTACAAGATAGCATGATTTTACAGGTTTTCGTAACGAACTGACTAAGATACGAATGATTTTCTAGCAACGATTCTCACTTTGTGTCCTAAAATAGCCAATGAGATATAGATTTACTTTACAGTTTTGTAGTGAGCTTCGTTCAAAAACGAACTTAAAAAGGGATATCTGCAAAGTTAACCGATTGTAATTAAGAAAAATGGTTTCTTGTTCCCATATGGATATAAAATGTAAGATAAGTAAAATTTATAGTAACGCGAATCAGCGTTTTAGACCGAGAATCGTTAGTGAGCATCGTGTAATTTGAGACGTATGAAATTTGACTGCCTGCTTTATGAACTGTGCTATAGATCTTATACTGCAAATGAAATTTAGCTTGGAAATGACGCCAGTTCTCAACTATAAGGCGAAAACAATGCATATTTATTTGTCTTTGCCCGCAGTTTGATATGTTGTGAGATGAGATTTAAACCTACTCGACTCACAAACAGATTATTTCTGAATAGTTGGTTCCAGGTTCGTCGTAATTATGGCCTTTTGCATCATTCCAATGCCAGCATGTAACTTTTGAGTAAATTTCCGCGGATTTTTCACAAGGAAGATAGCGATGATGATATTAGACGTGAATATAAATGTGCTTATTAAGCATCATAGCTAGCAGCACACGTACCTGTATTGGTATATACAGTGTTAAAAATAACCCCTCCCCCCAGAATGAATAAATAGTATCTAAAACTACCAAAACTTTGCCCACATATGCTTTGCTACTGGAATATATGTTATTCGGCGGTATAAACATAGAACTAAAACGTTTAATTACCAACTTCCAAACACCATTGATCACCACCAAGACAATCTTTGCCAGAAACTATGGGACAGCTGCTGTAATTTCATATAATTTGAAAGGAATAGCGCCCCCCAGTTCAATGTTGGGCCAACAAAAATCTGATGTCTGGATATGCGGCGCCAACATTGAAATAGGTGGGGGGAGGGAGGGTGGAAAATATGTATCAGGAAATGGTATATTACAACCGAATCACAGAATAAAGATCAGTAAAGCCCCATTTACATGAGCAAATTTTATTTGATAAATTTCATATGTCAAAGACATTTTGCTCGTGTGGATGATGCATTTGTGACAAATTTATTGTGACAAATGCATTTGAACAAAAGCTAGCATGCTAGCTTTTGATCAAATGCATTTGTCATATGAAATTTGTCAAATAAAATTTGCTCGTGTAAACGGGGCTTAACAGAAGCGCAACTCAGCGGTGCAACGTGTCCTCGTTTTTTTATGCAAAAATATGCAGTTTACTGGCCAGAAGGCGGAGCAGCCAGCCAGTACAGCGTGTTTATTGGCCAGAAAATGTCATTGACTGGCTAGGAAAATGGCGGCCAACATGCGTAATGCGACATGCGTGAGGACAAAAACTTCAAAGCTTGCGATGTAAGTTGCCCTTCTATGTGGATCTTTATTCTATGACCGAATGCATGTGAAAACTAGATTGTCCCAATCTATATTGTCAAAGATTGTAGGTAATAATTATATAACTAGTTATATAATTATTACCTAGAGTCATAATCTAGCATGCAGTTCGAATGTTGTTTGTGTTTTTTTAAAGACAGGAAATATATTACAATTAATGTACAATACATTACTGTAAAATAGTAAGCTGGAGTTGTATTACATTTGAAAGAGAAAAATAGATTTTTAACAAATAATGAGGAACGGCATATATATATATATATATATATACATATATATATATATATATACATATACATATACACATTTTACTTGTGAAGAGGAAATGTTAAGGTGGCTCCCTACAGTTGTTTAAGCATGGGACTGGTAACGAAATGACATAATTGTATGTGCGTGGACATTGCATGGAAATATCAGAGGTGCAGGAAAATTTTGCGTGTACAGGAAACTTGCGGGATTTGAGTGGCAGATTTAAATCCCAAGTAAATTAGCAAAACAAACATGGCCTTTCGGTTCAATAATCGTTTATCCTTCGACAAATTTGGAAAATTATCGACAAGAAATCTGAGTAATTCTGCAAAACTTCACGAAGGACTGCGTTCTTGGTTGAGAAAGATAAAGAGACAACTTGACAGTGAAACGGCGAATGCATACGTCCCAGCGAAATATTATACAAGAGCGACATCGGTACATACGAAAAAACCTCAGGAAATTTTTTCTGCATGTCTACACCTCCGGCTTAGTTTGTAATAAAGTGTTTTTTAATAGGGACAAGAAAATATCGAAATGGCCCCATGGAGCTTGAATAGTCGATATTGACGTTTTAAAGGACCAGCTACATCAATGTCAATTCTGCCAAAAAGGTAAAAATACAAATGGACACAAAAACCTTTAGCCCTTCACTCCTGGCTTTTATTTTCAACCCTTTACAGCTGAATTAACTATTTGGAAGTTTATTAGTTGTATTATTTAAAATGTATGGAAATGTATACACAAGAACACAGTCATAAAGAAATGTTAATATAATAAACAAGCAAGTTGTATATAATAGTAACAGTAAAACCCTACATTTACAAAAATACTGGGTTTTTATGTGGGTATTTATTGTATATCGTACTAAAAATATTTTGTTTGTTTGTGTAATTTGTTTGATTTGCTTGCAAAAGTATATGTGCAATATGGACACATGTTAACAGCTTGTATATAAGCAAATCAATTAATTTTTTTCCTAATTTAAGGTCCTCTTTCACTGGCCAATGTCCTGGATGAAAAACAATATGGATTAGCAAGTAAGCTAAGAGTAAAATGCCAGTTTTGTTCAGCAGAAAA